TTTCAATCCCAGTAGCATACCGTATACAGCGATCGATAATGCGGAATATATTGCGTTCTTGTTTGTAGAACATCAGATCACATTCCACCTCCTCATTGAATTTGCCAGGTGATGCTGTAGAGGGCATAACAGAATGCCCAGGCTTGTCCTTAGCTCTGGGTTCTCGGCTTGAGTCTGACGCTGTCCAGACCTATCTTGATTAAGATGAGTCTAAACTTAAGCTCCTTTGCGTGGAACCGACGTAAGTGTAACTTTCGCAACTCGCGAATACCACGCTAGGGTCGAAGCATCTTAGGTTTTGTAGACTGATTTGCACATCGAACCGTGACCAGTCTGGTGTCGCGGTCGCGCAGCAGGGTTCCCCGCTGGTGGTGGTGGAGGTGCTTCTCCACCTTGTTGTCGACCACGTCTGACTCTAACCTGTGGTAGTTGGAGATGGCCATCCGAACTGCCAGCCCCAGTCGAAGCAGGTTGCTTTGCAGCAGGCTCAGCAGCACGTCTTCCAACAGTAATGTCGTGACTGCTTGCGCCCGCGGTAGGTCCGGCTCTAGAGCCGGGTCTCGGTGTTCTCAGCCGCGCAAGTGGTGATGCTGCTGGCGCCTCGGGTGGCGGTGCTGCTAACTCAGCAGGATCTGGCGGCGCAGGTCCTGATGCCGGCGGTATCTGTCCACGATTGTCGGGCAACTTCCAAGGCTTGGCAAACTTGCATTTGCCAGGTGTCAGTACGTGTCCAGGCTTGATATTCCCGTCGTTCTTCTTGCAGCTCGGACATGCCCAATGGTAGTCGTCCTCATCGCACCACCTGCAGTGTCTCGGATCTCTATCATGAAAAGAAGAGTGCCTGCTAACGTTGTCCGCGCAAGCAGGACAACCGAGCTTCCCCGATGGTGGTCTCGCAGTCGAGCCATCAGATTGTCGAGGGGGACTCGGAGCATCCAAATCGCATCCCCTTGCGTTAGTGACCAACGCGGTGGACGAATGCGGGTAGCCATGGAAAAAATCACGAATTGCCTGGAAGAGATCGTGCGCGATCTGAACAGCCTCGACAAAGAGTGACTGCACCTTTTTAACTAGATTGTGCAGCCATGGACAGTTCCTTATTACATGCCGACGCGTGCTGATGATGGCCAGTCCATCGCTTTCGTTCAAAAGGGGTGAATAAAAAAAAAAAACGATGGTTGGCCATGGTCTCGGTCGGCTTTCGCATCAGTACCCCATGGGAATCACGCAAGCCAGTAGTGCATTGATCCATGTTCACCCTGCAAGTGCCCTTGCTTTTGGCCAACGTAGTCCATGGTGGTATCTGATCCACCCAAATCCCCACTGGTTGTTCTCGTAAGTCGAATCGTCGACGATCATTTTGTGTGTGTGTGTGTTTGTGTGGCTGTGTAGAAATCAGCGCCGGGAGCCAGCGACCTTCTACACCGCCGCCCTCCCTGAAGGTCCGCTGCTAAGTTCGTCGGGGGGTGCCTGTGCAGGTGCGGTCGAGGCGTAAGGATGCGGGATATGTCGAAGGGCCTCCGAGAGCCGCGGAGGCCCACCGCCGAGCCCTTCCCTGCCGAAGGCCGCCGAAGAAGGGCCGCCGAGGGCCTCCGAGGCTCTCCGAGGGCCCCCGTGCAGCCGGGCCTCCGAAGGCCGCCAAAGGGCCGTCGAGGGGCCGCCGAAGGGCCGCCGAAGGGCCGCCGAAGGCCGCCGAAGGTCCACCGAGGGCCGCCCAAGAGCCGCCGAAGGCCGCCGAAGGGCCGCCGAAGGCCGCCGAAGGGCCGCCGAAGCTCCGCTGATGGGCCTGTGTTCCGCCACCACCACCAGAAGTTGGAAGGGAGAAGGAGGATGATGAGGAGGAGGACGAAGAGGAGGAGGAGGAGGAGGAGGAGGAGGAGGAGGAGGAGGAGGAGGAGGACCCCCTGCCCCTCCTACTAACGGTGGTGGCGGTGGGAAACAAGCCCACCATCCGTGCCGATTTCTCGCGTCGCCGCTGGGCCCCTCTGCGCCCACAACCCCTGCGACGCCTCTGGCGCCGCGCGGGGGTCCTGGAGGGGTCTCGCCAGTTCGAGCTTTTCTGGCGATCGTGATGCATGCCGTTGTCTATTGCTCCTGAGATGCGTGTGCACACACACACACACACACACCTATGCATGTATATGTAGATGTGTATATAGTGTCGGGGGGGAGCCCAGGCTCATTCACCCATGGCGGTGCTGGGGCTCCAGGAGCTCTGCGTCCCGCTCCAAGGCGAATTAGATGCCGTCCAAGACGACCAAGATGGCTCAAGATGGCCTCAGAGATGCCTCTCATACCGCCAAGCAGGACGCCCCAAGAGGCCTCCCAGGAGAGCCGGGAGAGGCAAACATGGCCCCATTCCCGCCGGAAAACTGTATATTCTAACCATATTCACCTCTCGCGGGCTCTCACAGCATCCAAGACGGCCCGCGAGGCCCCCAAGATCGTTCCAAGACGGCCTAAGAAGGCTCCAAGACGGCCCTAGAGGGCCCCAAGACGGCCGAAGCCCAGAGGGGGTCCCCGAACGGACGTTTGAAGCTCTCTGCCCCTAGAGGTCCCCAGGAGTCCCCAAGAGGCCCCCACATGGCTTTCCAAGAGGCCCCAGGAGGTCCCCTAGGTCCCGAGCTGCCCCACCCCCCAAGAACTGTGCGCGTCAGCTTGTCAAGGGCTGGTTCTAGTACAGGTGTATGTATATATGTATATATGTATATATGTATATATATATATGTATATACACATACACATACACATATAAACATGTATGTGCATACTGGAGTCAGCACCGCCCCGACGGTAGGAGGTAGGAGCGGGCCTATCGCGGCGCCGGTGATTCCACAGCCTTTTCAGGTGCGAGCCAGGCTCACTGCCTTGCCCGCTGCGCGCGCGCGGGGCGCGGGCGCGGGGGGCCCACGCCAGCTGTGGCCCCTAGGCAATCTCGCCTGGGAGCCCAAATACCTACCGGCCTCCTGAGCCGAGCTATCCCGGTTACCGGCCCGTGGGCCGAGATTCGTGGGGCGGCCCGCACTCCCGCTGAGCCCGTGGCTGCTCTGCGGGATGCCGCCCCCAGTCGGGCCATGGTTCGACGCCGTGGCCGACCCAGACTTCTTCGATCACTTCGAGCTCCGCTCCGGCCAGATCGTGGAGGTCCAGTGCTCGGACGACGCGGGCGACGAGCAGGGCACGATGCTGCTCGCGGTGACTGGCACGGCTACCGCCTCGGCGAGGGGTCGATGGCTCGAGGCCGTGTACATTGCCGCGAGCGACGAGTACTACGACTGGTACATGCGGGAGTCGGCGGACAAGCCGCCCAGCCCAGCCTGGTACCACCTCTGCCGAGGTGAGGCGGCCACCTGCCAGAGCGTCAAGGCTGGTGCCGATTACGCTCTGCATTTCGCCCGTGTCAGGGCGGTCCCCAGGGCGGCGCTGGCCACGGGTGCGATCGGTTGGGCTGGTAGGGGTGTTGCCGCCGAGCGTGTGGAGGAGTACCTCGGCAACCTTGATGGGGGGCGCCGGGAGGCTTACCCGCCTGGGGGAGTCCCCGCAGGCGGAGACCGCGGCGAGTTCTTCGACGGAGAGCTTGTCGAGCAGCCGCGGCAGCAGCGGCAGCCAGAGGGATCTCCCTCCCGCGGTGCGGCTGCGGCAGCTCCTGTCGCAGACCAGCTTGCGAATCTACGTCGTGACCTTGCTGATGAGCCTCGCGGGAGGAGGCGCGAACGCTCGGGTCACCCTCGGAGGGGCCGAGGTGGCCCTAGCAGGCCTGGCCTGTTCGGGGGGACTGCCCGGTCCCCGAGGCGCGGTGGTCGTGCTGCCGGGGGCCGCTCTGCTGGAGGTGGGGACGCTGACCAATCTGGAGGTGCGTCGGCGCCGCCGCTTGGGGATGCGCCCGAGGGTCGACGCGCCCGTTCCCCTACCCCCCGGCACGCTCGCGACCGCGACCGCGACCGCGACCGCGACCGCGACCGCTCCCGCAGCCGAGGGGGCCGCGAACGTCGTCGCCGTCGAGGCGGCGACCGGGGCCCCTACGGTGCTGGCCCGTTGGCGGCGTTCTCCTCTTCGGAGTCGCGCTCACGTTCGAGGCGGAGGCGTCGTTCACGCTCAGGGTCGAGGCCGGGTTTTCGCGAGGCCCCCTCCTCCGCCAACGGGAGCAAGCAGCTCCAGTTGGTGTCCTATTCCCAGCGTCATCCAGGACGGCTGGCCGCGCGGCTCCTGCTCAAGATGGCAGCCGGCGTCAGCAGGGAGGGGGGGGCCGTGTACGCCCAGCTGGGCAGCCCGGGCGATCTGAATCAGACGCCTCCGGCAGCGACATCGTACTTCTTGACGGTGATGGTTCCGACCCTGGCCACGCGCATGGCGCTTCGCGACAGGAGGGAGTTGCGGACGCTGTCCCTCATCCTGGACCTCCTGGCGACGCAGAGGCCCGAGGAGGCCGCCGACGTTGTGGCCCAGAGGATCAAGGCGATCGACAAGGCGCTGCACGACGGCGCTTGGACGCACGCGCAGCTCCTCGAGCTCATACCCGAGGAAGGGGCTCCCCTCCTGGAGCGCGACGAGGCCGTCGCCGTCGCGAGGGAGGCGCGGACCAACCAGGAGATCGTGGGCGTGCAGCCGTGGCGCCGGGGCCACGACGAGAACGCAGCCTCCCAGAAGGGGAAGAAGGGTGGCGGCAAGACCAAGAGCGGAAAGGGCGGCAGAGGGAAGCCTCCCGACGGCGGCTGACCGCTGCCCCTCGGGAGGCGCCGTGGCGCCGCTCCCCGTCCACAGCAATCGCCAGACCGCCCCACTCACGGGTTGGATCCCGCGATGCGCGGTCCCCCAGCGGCGGAGCGTGCAGGGGGCGCGAGGCTGCCGTTTTGAAGCCTGCGGGAAGCCCCTCGCTGGGTGGACGCCAGCGTGTCGTGCGACTCTGCGACGCGCGGGCGCCGTCAGAGGAGCCAGCGGCTTCCTTCGAGCCTACGTCGGGCTCAGAGCCGCGTGGAGGCCTGGAGTCGCCAGAACGCCCGATGCTGGCTATTTACCGGGAGGGCTCGCTCCCGAGACTTTCGCCGCCGCCGCGCAAGGGCCACATGACCAGGGAGAGCTGGCGGGCAGACCTCGAGGTGGCCCTCGCCTCTCGGCCAGGGCTCTTCGATGCCTTCATCTGGCTGGATGCGCACTGGGACGAGCTCGCGACTCCCTTGGGCGACCTGCCACGTTCATTAGGGCGCGCTGCACCACCCTCTGCCCGAGGGTCTCGCGGAGCCTCCCAAGACATCCTGCCGATTGCGGTTGAGGCCGTCCGGGAGCTCTCTGCCGAGAAGGTCTTGGGCCATGGGCTCGAGGAGGCATCCCTAGGGCGATGGAGCGGCGGCCTCCGCCAGTGGGTCTGCTGTATTTTGTCCGCCCTCAACTTCCATTATCTCGGAGCGGGCGCTGAGCCACCTCGGAAGGGCCCGGCACTGAGGCTGTCGCAGCCTCAACTCAGGCTGGTCCGGCATGTTGCGATGGCTGTCGTCGCATTCGTGTCCAGCCAGCCTGACGCCGCTGGGCAGGCACCGTCGCTGAAGGCCCTCAGGAAGAACCTCACGACGCTTCCAGTGGACTACGGGGCCTCGGGCCTGGTTGTCAAGATGGAGGCGCTCACGCCAAGGAGGGTCATCCCAGCATGGCCGGCAGTGGGGTCCGCGGCAATCCAGCCCGTTACCAAGTTCCTCGAGGGCGAGGTGCTTGAGAAGGTCGTGGATCCCAGCTCGAACCTCCTGGACCGGGCCTTTTGGCCCGCGGCAACTAGGAAGAGTTACGTCCGTGCTTCTGACGGGGCCTGGGCTGACTTGGTGGCCGCGGCATTCCAAAGGGGCATGATGAAACCAGTGAGGGAGGAGGATGTGTTCCGCGGCGTCGACGGCCAGCCTGTGTACAACGGGGCCGGCGGCGTCGAGAAGATCAAGTACAAGGACGGAGTGCGACAGGAACTCCTCCGCTTCATCAGCATCTTTTGCCCCATCAACGACTACCTGACCCGCATCACGGGGGACGACGACAAGTTGCCGTACGTCGGGCAGGTCACCCTCCTTCATTTGGAGGAGGGAGAAGAGGTTCTCATCGACTCCGAGGACTTCGAGAGCTGCTTCAACCTTTTCACTCTGCCCGACTCGTGGCTCGGGTACTTCAGCTACGAGAAAGTTGTACCTGGCAGCGCTATGGGCCTGCCAGAGAAAGAGTGGGTGCGCCCCGCCTTGTGCGTCGTGCCCATGGGTTGGAACAGTGCCGTCGCCATCATGCAGTCGGTTGTCCGACGTCTTGTGTTCGGGCTCGCGCGGGTCTCCCCCGCCACCGAGGTGCAGAAGGGCAGGGACCTACCCCCGCAGGACGACTTGTCCATCCTTTACCTCGACTCGTACGACCGACTCCGGGTTGTCGACCGGGCTCTCGCCGAGGCCCAGATGGGGGGGGAGACAGAGGAGCACGCCCGTTTCGTCAACGTGTGCTCCGAGCTCGGCCTCCCGCTGAACACGGGAAAATCCTTGATCGGGGCGACGGCGGCATCCCTTCAAGGGGGCTTTCTGGACAGCTCCCGCGGGACCTTCGGGCTCCAGCCCTCGAAGGGGGCCGACTTGGTCTGGCTGGGCCTGGCGCTGCTGGCCCAGCCTCGGTGGAGCGTGCGAGCGCTCCGGCACTGGGCTGGGAAGGCTTGCTTCGCGTCGGTGTTTCGGAGGCCGCTCTACGCGGTGCTGCAGGAGGTGTTCTGGCAGATCAAGTTGCTGGAGGCTGGGGCGGCGGTGCCGAAGGACGACGCGTTCGACGAGGTCCTGTCCTTCACCATCTTCGTCCCGCTCGCCTTCACCAACATACGCGCCACGCTCGATGGGATTGTCTCGTGCTCGGACGCGTCGCTCACAGGCGGCGGAGTTGCGGTGGCGATGTCGTTCCGGCCGTTCGTTACCGTGGGTTCGGCTTGCCAGCCCAGCTACCGCCAGTCCGGCGAGAGCCCTATACGGGCCCCTTGCGGCGCCCAGATCGGCGACCCCCGCAGTGCGGCTGACCACCGAGAGAACTGCGGGAAGTGCGGACGCTGCCCGTGTTTCGCAGAGCGGTTCTCTTGCCCTCGTGCCCCGCTGACGCAGGCAGTGGCGCAGTGGGGCATTCCTGTGCAGAGGCCCTTCGACGACGCTATGGGCCGCGATTTCTTTTCCCAGGAGGGTAAGAAGATTTTGACCACCGAGCAGGCCGAGACGGCGCTTGCCTGGGAGCATTTTGCTCCCGAGTGGCGCTTCTTGTCGAGGCTCCTGGGCCAGACCAGGTGCGGAACGCCAGGCACATCATGGGGATCCCTGGGCTCCCGCGCACTCTCGCGTTCGAGGTGCGGCGATCCAACGCGATGGGCAAGAAGGCCCTCGCTTGTGCCTTGGAGCGCCACGGGCAGGGGAAGTATTGGTGCATCGAGAACCCTTGCGACAGCTGGCTCTGGGACTTCGCGCAGGCCAAGGAGCTAGAGGAGAAGGAGGGAGTATTTTACTCTGAGCTCTCCTACTGTTGCTTCGGCGGCGCGCGGAGGGCCACCTGCTTCGCTCACAACTGCCGTGAGCTCCATGCCATGCTCCATCGCGACGGGCCCTGCTCCTGCCCCACGGTGCCGCCTAAGGACCCGTGCCACTTCTACGAGTACCCGGGCGCGCTGTGCCAGAGGTACGCGGAGGTCGTCGCTGGCGTGCTGTCGCGACCCGCGGTGCCACCCCGGGAGGTGGACCCTGCGAGGCGGGAGGAGGCACTGCGTGCCCGGCTCGCCCGAGCAGGGAAAATGTTCGTCGAAAAGGGCGTCTCGGAGCGCGTGGTCGCGTCCGTGCGTGAGCTCGAGGCTACCATGGTCCCGGGCCAGGAGATCGAACATCTGAAGCTCATGCTCCGCAAGTGCGACCACCGGGGCACTGACGTGAGGCTGATCGTCGACGATCCTTTCCATTCGTCCCCTGCTAGGGTGCCGTACCCCGCTCTTGAGTGGGAGTGGAAGACCGTGCTGTCATGGCGATGGCAGCACGAGCAGCACATCAACATCCTTGAGGCGCACGCGGCGGTGACCTGGTTGAGGCGGCGTGCCAATTCAATCATGTACCACTCCCGGCGCTACCTGCACATCCTGGACTCGCTGGTCGTGACGGGTGTGCTCACCAAAGGCCATTCTTCTTCTAAGCGGCTGAACCGCGTGTGCCGCAAACACATGGCGGTATCACTTGCATGCGATAATTACCCTTTTTATGCCTGGACGATTTCTGCGTGGAACTTTAGCGACTTTGCCTCGAGGAATGCCGGTGCTTCGTCAGCAGGGCCGTCGCGCCCGTAATCCTGGTGGGCCGGTTCGCCGGCACCTGCGCTATGTCGGCATCGCTCCACGCACGTTCCAGGTATACCGCCGAGCTGTTAACGCCTTCTTCTTCTTCTTCTTGCAAGCCAGGTCCCTCGCCCTGCCCACGTCGTTGTCGGAGCTCGATCACATTGTGTCTGAGTTCATCAACGAGTGTTGGCAGGAAGGTGAGCCCATCGGCTTCTGCGGCCACCTCCTGAGCGGCCTGCAGCGCTTCTTCCCACAATGCAAGCACCACCTCAACACGAGTTGGCTGTTCTACAACAATTGGAATTCGACAGTCGTGCCCACTAGAGCCACGCCGTTCCCGAAGCATATTGTGGCTGCTCTGGCCTCCGCTGCGGCCCAGGCGGGGGATTTGAGGTTGGCCGCAGGGCTTCTGGTTGGGTTTACTGCATTTCTTCGGACTACCGAGCTTTTGTCGCTCGAGAAACGCCATGTCCGGCTCTTCCCTGAATCCAACACGGTCTTCATAGCATTGGAGTCGACCAAGACTGCCGGGAGAAAGAGGGCCCGGGAGGCGGTGCACTTCGTGGACCGCGTCATTCTGACATTGCTGCAGCGGGCCATGTGCGACCTTTCTGACGACGACCCCCTCGTCCGCCAGAGGGGAGGCGCCTTTTCGAGGGCATTCCAAGCTCTCCTGAAGTTCACCCGCCTTGAGCACGTAGGGTTCCAGCCGTACTCCCTACGGAGAGGGGGGGCCTCGTGGTACTTCACAAAGGTCCAGAGCATGGACGCGACGATCGTACGAGGCCGATGGCAGAACCCACGAACAGCGCGCATCTACATTGAGGATAGCACGGCCGCATTGGTGCTGCTGCAGTTACCCGCCGAAAGTGCGGAGATTGTTAGGTGCCTCTGCAGGTGGTGGTCCACGTGGTGATGTTCGCCTTCGGCTTCGCTCAGGCAGTGAATGGTTTGGGATTGCCGGCCAGCCATGGGGCGTGTGGTGTGGTCCTCGGCTACGCCAGTCAGTGGCGCGGGCTGCGAGGCCGGCCTCGCTCGGCAGCGGCTCCGAGGCTTGACCCAAAGTGTCTGCCTAGCCGCGCCTCGCTGCAAGACACTGCTGGTGCAGCGCGCCTGGAAAAGAAGGCGTGCGAGCGATTGGAGTCAGCACCGCCCCGACGGTAGGAGGTAGGAGCGGGCCTATCGCGGCGCCGGTGATTCCACAGCCTTTTCAGGCCTCCTCGACCCCGCCAGCCACCCGTTCCAACACGGGAGTTTTACCGCCTCTCGGAAGGATGCCCAAGGTGAGGGTGCCATGTGCTCCACCGCCTCCCCGGCGAGTTACCACCATTTTGGTGAGGGCTGCGAGGCCGGCCTCGCTCGGCAGCGGCGCCGAGGCTTGACCCAAAGTGTCTGCCTAGCCGCGCCTCGCTGCAAGACACTGCTGGTGCAGCGCGCCTGGAAAAGAAGGCGTGCGAGCGATATATATATATATATATATATATATATATATATGTCTCTCTCTCTCTCTCTCTTTTTGACCCAGGGTTGCCCCTCCCATCCCCCCATGCATGTGTGATCTAGCCGCCGCCCCCCGCTGGATGGGTACGCCCCTGAGCCTCGCCAAGGCCTCGCAAATGTGATCATTCCGCCCCCCTTGTGGTCGTCGCCCTGTGGGCGTGGTGTGGTGGAGGGTGTCGGTGCAACCCCGCCCTCACTCTGTGGCTGTGGGGTGGTTCGTCGTCGTCGTCGTCGTCATCCCGCGTCGTCGTCGTCGGCGGCGTCGGCGTCGGCGTCGGCGTTGGTGTCGGCGTCGGCGTCGGCGTCGGCGTCGGCGTCGTCGTCTTCCTCGTCCTCGTCCTCGTCGTCGTCGTCGTCGTCGGCGTCGGCGTTGTCGGCGTCGGCGTCGGCGTCGGCGTCGTCGTCCCCCTCGATCCTAGAAGCCTGGGACTTGGCAGCTCACGTCCACGCTCAAGGCGGGTGGCGATCATCGATGACGATCGTCTCCATCCCCCTTTGATTGGGCGCGGCCGCGTGCTCCCCTCTATTCCCGAATTTCCGACACTTAGCTCACCTGGGACAGAACAACAGACATCATTACCAACCGATGCCAGAATTTAACAAAAAGAAAAACAGAAAGCAGACAAAGAAGCTGGCATCAAACCTCGCAAGATACCCAACATAGTCGAAGAAAGCAACGACGACTGTGGAGATGACCTGACAGTACTCGGATGTAGCACGTACTACACCGACGTACTCTGGTCTCCGACACGGATAGTGACGACGAAGAGGAGACCTTCATCGCACGACTTGCGGGGCGACCTGCTGAATCGTATGCAGACGTCTTCAGCCGAGGTCTGTTTGTAGGGGGAAACCTCGACAAACGCACTTTCGTTGACCTTGGCAACAAGGATGTCCAAGATGCAGTCATGCATTATCTAGGCGTTTGTTTCGTTCAGGTTGTCATGCTACGGCCCAACTGCCGAACAGCTGGTTCACCTTCCTATTTCAATGCAACGGTTAACTATGACACCTGGCATGATCATCGTAAAGAAGATTATCCCAGTGCGACCCTACCTAAGGGTTTGAGCATTTAGGAAAGCAACACCTACATCTACACCGACAGCTACATGTACATCTACACCTGCATCTACTTCTACATCAGCATCAGCAGCGAGACTCACATCTACATTTACAGCTACGCCTACGCTCGGCTGCGCTGTGATGAGCTAGGCTATGCTATGCTATGATGCGCTATGCTATGCTATGCTATGCGATGCTGCGCTACACGAGGCTATGCTATACTATGGTGCGCTATGATATGCTATGACATGCTGTGCTATGCTAGGCTAGGCTATGCTCTTATATGCTGCGCTATGCTATGATATGCTGCGCTGTGCTATGATATGATCTGCTGCGCTGTGCTATGCGAAGCAATGCTAGGATACGATATGATATGATATGCTGCGCTATGCTATGATATGAAATCATATGCTATGCTATGTTGAGATATGCGATGCTATTCGATGCTATGCTTGGCTATGTCATGCTATGCTATGCTGTGCGAATGCTGCGCTATGCTGCGCTGCGCTAAGCTAAGGTAACTAAGGTAAGTCCAGCTATGTTAAGCTAAGCTAGGCTAAGCCAAGCTAATCTAAGCTAAACTAAGGTAAAGCTAAGTTAAGCTAATCTAAGCTAAGCTAAGCTAGGCTAGGCTAGGCTAGGTTAGGCAAAGTTAGGCTAAGCTAAACTAAGCTAAGATGAGGTAAGCTAAGCTAAGCTAAGCTATGCTTAGCTAAGCTAAGCTAAGCTGGGTGAACCCAGGGGGCGCAACTGGGGGACCCGCGGGGCGGGGGCTGGGGGGGCCGCCCGGGGCGCTTTACACTGCCCGGCTCCTGTAAGCAAACAAAGTAAGAACCCTCTAGGCAGAGCCTAGGTAGGGAACTTACCACATATCAAGTTCGGTGGGAAGCCCTGCGGCCCAGGAACGATCCGTGGTCAGGAGGGCCCAGGATCGAATCGTCCAGTCAGATTGGCAGTCGAATTGAATCGGATCGGGGGAAATCGGCAGCCGAATCGGGAAAGGTCGAATCGGCCAGAATCGGCAGGCTAGTAGGCCTCCATGGAGTCATCGGAGCCCGCATCGGCATCCGAAGCCGAGTCGCGAATCGGAAAGGAGAGCCACCGACATCGCATCGAATCTAACCGGAGGAATCGACACGAGCCCCGGTTGCGGGGTGTCTGTGTATATGTTTTTGTTGGCGTGGCGCGGATGTCCTGCCGCAGCCCGTGGCCCTCCAGGCAGGCGAGGAGCGCCGCGGCGTCGGGCTCCTCCTCGCCGGCCGCAGGCTCGGGCGGCGCCTCCGCCGCCGCCGCGTCGCCGGGGCACGCCGCCCGCGCTGCGGCGGCGCGGGCGGCGTCCTCTGGGGGGCGGGGGCTCAGCCAGAACCACCGCCCGGGGGGGCGATCTTCCATTTCCTCGGCAGGCGGCTGGATTATGCATATATACACTTACACAAATTGCCATATCGCGCATATAGATTCATGGTATGTATACAAATCAAGTTTACATATTTTAATGTATGAGACCAGAAGAAAACCAATCATCATATGTTTAGGAATGTAGGGCTATGGGGCTAAACGGCTATAGGACCATAGGGCTAGGGCTATGAGGCTATAGGGCTATAGAAACACAGGACTATACGGCTACAAGGCAATAAGGCTGTAGGGCTATAGGCCTATGAGGGCTGTAGGGTTATAGGGCTATAGGGCGATTGGGCTATAGGGCATAAGGACTATAGGGCTATAGGGATATTAGGGCTATAGGGTTATAGGGCTATATAGGGCTATAGGTCTATAGTGATATAGGGCTATAAACATATAAGGCTATAAGGTGATAGAGCACCCGGGCACCCCGGGGCACCCGGGCACCCCGGGGCACCTCCGGGCACCTCTGGGCACCTCCGGGCACCCCCGGGCAACCGGGCACCCGGGCACCCCCGGGCACCCGGGCACCCGGGCGTGCGGCGAAAATCGGTAACCATATGAATCCGCTAGGACCCCTACTGAGGCAAGCTATGGTTGGGGAATAAATGCATGCATGCATACATACATACAAACAAACGCACCTACACGCATCCCATCCCTCTCCGAAGAAACAGAGTTCAGAAGCGATTCGTCGTGAAGCCGTGTTTGTTGTTTTGGCCGTTTTGCTCGGGGTATCCCCACTATCGGGTGCACCTCTCACGCAGACCGCGACGTCACAGTCCAAACACACAAGGGCGCCCCAACATGTTAGCATAACATATTCGAAAGCGCATTGGTTGCCATTGCGTTGAACTCCATGTTCTGAGGCATGCAGACTCGCCTGAGACAACCTTAGGAGTTCGATTGTCTTGTAAATGCCATTTCCACTCAAAGGGCAGGCTCGCCTGAGACACCCTTCCGAAAAAAATTAAAAAAACCCAACGTACAACGCACATAATAAACACATAACGCACACACGCCACACACAGCACACAGCACACACCACACGCACACAGTACACCGTACACAGAACACTTACAACCAGCAAAGAACAAACACACATACACACACGCAAAAAACAAACAAACATACACACACGCACACACACACACACACGCAAACGCAAACGCACGCACGCACAATACACACAAACACGCACACACACACACGCACGTACATCACGCACGGCACATACAACACTCGAAAAACACACGCCCACCTATCTTGTGTTTGGCGTCGCGGGCCCCCGCGCGACGACGGGGCGGAGTGCAAGGAGTGAAGCGTGCGCGTCTACGCCCGGCCAAACACTCAGAGACAGCATAGGGTCTCGCAGCCGGCAGCAACCATACACACATGCACACACACACACACTCACATACGCACACAACACACCGACCACACAAAACACGCAGAACACACATGGCGCACACATCCCACAACTCACGCGCACAACACAAGTCACACAAAACACCAACACGACATCGCCACACACACGCATACATTCTGCACGCGTGTTTGTATGAGCTTGGTCACGCGCGTGGCAGTAGTATGTGCACATATGTATATATATATATATGTGGTTTTCCGAGTCCTCTCTTTTTCAATGGCCAAACCCAAGATTTGATATGTGTGCTTACTGGCGCTCAAAGCTCGGGGTAAAGAGAGGCGGTGACAGGCGCCTGCACAACGGCAGGCAACAGCAACACTAAGCACAACACCTCACGAAGATGTTGCTCCGCGGGTGGGCTCGAGAGGAAGCTTGAACACAATCGGCTGCGGGCGACAGCCGCGCGGCCTCCTTCCCAACTGAAGCTCTCAGACAAGATTCGCACGCCCGCGTTGCCATCTGGTCTTCCGAGCCCTCTCATTTTCAAGGGCCAGACCCAAGGTTTGATATGTGTGGTTACTGGCGCCCACAGCTCTGGGAAAAAAGAGGCAGTGACAGGCGCCTGCACAAAGGCAGGCAACAGCAACACTAAGCACAACACCGCAAAATCGGATAATTCCGAAACCGACCTCTGGCGCATCGTTCACCGAAGGGCCACTTTGGACA